GCAATAACATACTTTGCTAATTGAATCACTAATAAAAGTAAAGCTATTGATTTGGTGCACAAATACAAGAATTAACATTTAAAAGAATTAAACAAAAAACAATATAACAAAAACTTAATGTCATAGAATAAAATATGAAAACAGTGTGATTTTAATTGAAGATGAATGTGCTTGTTATATAATGACTAATGGAATCATCATATTATGATTTTTTACTAACAGTCAAACATTTCATACAAACATTATTTAAAACTTGTTGTTACTCATAGCGTTCAATGAAACAAACAACTAAAATTATCTCTATTGATTAAAAAAAAAGAGTTCATATGAAGATAAAAAGTCAAATGGTTCATGAATTTTTTTTTGTACATATAGTTGTATATTTGAACCTGCGGTTTTCTTGCTTTTGGCTTCTCTTTCTATCTCATCTCCAGCCCGTAGTGGTCAAATGCTCGGAGCTTATTTCTAAGTTATGCTTTTTGAATTTTGATTTCACAATCAATTTCATCTTTGTGAAAATGTGTCTACTTCATGTGTTTTTGCAATCAAATTGACGTGTTGACAAACTTTTTTTTGCATTGAATGAGGTTGTACTTTGCATTTAGCAATGTGTTTATCAAATGCATCATGTATGAAGATGTGAACTTAATTGTAGACGTCATCATTGAAAATTCGTTGGACTTTTTAATTTGATGACAATGTTTCATATGAACATTTATTGAATTGTGTCAAATCAAATAAGCGGTTTGGAATATTTGTCTTCTTGCAAAAAGAAGATTAAATTTTGTTATATAAATATGAAGAGTAAATACCAATATAGAGAAATATGTAATGTATGTGTGTATGTTTAGATTTAGAATAGTGAGTACATATCAAGTATGCATAGAGGAGTCGTACTAGTAGATATATTTCTTTTGAACTTATTTGTCATCAAATTCATCATACTTTTATGACAATTAATCATTGCGTGGATCTTGATTCATTTGATCAATTGATTTGATGATTAAATGATTGGGCGATTCAAGATACATAATTCTTGTGATACATCTTCTATATCAATATCAAAGCAAAACTATTAAAATTTCCTTTTGTTTTTTAAACACAAGGGTTTGGAAGCAATCTCACTCAAATATGAAAATACACTATCTAAAAATTAGAATCAACGATGAAGTTACTTTTTTTATATAATTTTTATCAATAAGTACACAAATACAAGATTTCATTTCCATAATTCATTTCACTATTAATGGATTGATGATATGGCGGATAATTTTAAAAAGCACATTGATTGCTAACGTGTTGCTTTCAACTAGCACATTCAATCTTTACCTAACAAACACACATATAGTTAACATGGTGTTGTCAACTAACACACTTATTTTTTACCAACCAAATACGCGGATTGCTAATTTGTCAATTATGACTAATGCACGCTAAAGTCATAACTCAATCTTCAATATATTAAATTTTAGTTTCAACTAATTAAAGATTGTAACACTTTTTGTTTATGCATTAATATTGACTAAATGATGTTTGAAAAATCTGATCAATTCACCTTGATCAATAGTTTGTGGATTCATTTACATTCAATCCATGTTGCCTCAAATGTTTATCCCAAATTGTTGTTTTTTGTGTAAAATATATATAGATTTTTTGTAATATTTTTAAAAATTATTCTTTTTTGTAATTTATTGAAAACAAGTTGAGTTCAAATGATATACATATTTGTCTTTCAAATTTAGGTGATTGTTTTATTATGATATGCTTTGTGAATGGTATATAAAAAATTAATGAAAACTAATAAAATGATGTTTTCTCGTGTTTTTTTCATGTGTAAGAAACATCAAGGCTAATTGAATTTGAGATGAATCTCAAGTTCACTTGAAATATTTAACTGTATATGAATTAAATTGAGTGGTAATTTGTAGAAGTAATTCACAAATTTGGTGTACGTAAAGTTGAAAAAGCTACAGTTCATTAGCAACACAAAGGTTTGTTCAATAAAAAACAAGAGCAAAGAAGCTTGGTAAAATGAAAACCTAACAAAGATTTGTATAAAATGCACTAAGTATTATTGTCTGTCTCGATGCTCCATAAAAAAGACAAATTTGTGACAAGATTTGAAATTGTATTTTTTACATTATCAATCATAATCACATAATTGATAACCACTAGCCACACTTCAATCCTTATCCATCTTTTCCTCATACCATACCTCCAAATCAACAATTATACAATGGATTCAATTTGAAATATATCAAATGCTTTAAAACATGGCAAAAAACAAATAACCTTGTTTAAAAAAAATCATTTTTCTTATTATTTTATCTTTGCAATAAATCAATAAGATAATAATTTATCTTTGCAATAAAGTTTATATACATCACACATTATGAGAATAATAATTTATCTTTGCAATAAAGTTTATATACATCACACATTATGAGAATAAGTAGACGGCTTGTGGCCATTACTTTTTGTGCAATTCATCTATAATCATTTGAATTGATAACCGAGTAGAGTTTTAAAGAATTTTATTAAAGAGTTGTTTGGACAATATATCATAAAATGCAGTACAAAGATTCAACTCTAATCTACCAATACTAATGTATGCATACATGATAAATATTGTAAAGAAAACAATGTACATATTTGTCACGGTGTATTACATTAATGAAAAACTTTGACAAGTGACGTCAGAGTTGGAAAAAAAAGATGAAGTTCAACATGCTTCATGTCGTAAAAACACTCATAATTTATGTTATGAAAAATCATGTGCTAAAGATGGAGTTATATGACACCTTAGTTACTTAGGCGAAAGCAAAAATGACTACTCTTATGTGCTTAATAGATATAGGGAAGATTTTGGCAAATTTGAATTAAGAGAAAGATGATGTACCAATATATATACAAAAAGAATGTTGACAATGGAATTGAAATCCTAGTTGTCAGCAACCTCCACACAAGTATTGGGCTTGAGTTCAGTACTTGTAAGTCTCACAGTAATCAAATTAGATATCATTGTAGTGGTGAGGTTGGCATTGCGGGTGAATCAAAATGTTATAGCTAAATTCGGTATTTTTGTGCTGAAACTTAAAAAGAGCCTCACATTTCTCTTTATGTCGCAATTTTCTACATCCATAACTGGAGGTCTGAATCGAAGTCAAACTTGTCGGATGTAAGAAATACACTAACCAATAAGCGCTACAAGTTAAAGCAAGTAATATTGATCGAGTTTGGTTTTCTGCATACATGCGTCGAGCTCCAAATCAAAGAGAAACTTCTTGGATGGCTGATGCCAGCGACATTGAATGCCCTTTTATCCAACTAAGACTTGGTATAAACAAGTATAACATATTCCACATTTTTTGAATTCATGGGCTCAATTTGAATAGCACGGGTGGGAATAGGTTGCTGCTCATGGATATGATCTGGGCATGGGTATAAATTAGAAGTAAAATGTCAGTCTAGCAAAGACTGACGTTTTACTTCTATTTTTTGTAAACAATCTAGCAAAGACTGCTTACAAAATACATATTGGTATTGTCTTATTGTTCATACATTTGAACAGTATTAGAGTGAGAAGTATGGGTCGCTATGGAGCGGAGTGGTGGTTCAATGGTGGGTGGGGACAGTGCAAGTTTTGTGAAAACAGATTACAAATCTGAGCAACCGTCCAAACAAATCGCCAGAGAAACAGACTCTACTCTGTCTTTACAGTAAGTGGATAGTATTGTGCTATGCCACCGAGTAAAATACAAAGAACGGTATGGTCGAAGAATTGTAGAAAATGGTCACATCAATATGAATGAAACATATGTCTGATTAATTCATACGTACGGCCACTTGAGATTCGGTGATAGGCTTGTCTCGGGTGGTTGTGTTCGTTTCTGCGGGCCTTGATAAACGAAAACGTGCTATTATGGGGGTTCAGGAACTTCACCAGGGATGGAAATAAATGATATGGAAACATGGAGCGAAGATATTCATTCAGGACCAGCCTTTTAAAGTTCCTGGTCAAAGTGAAGCCGGTTGCTTCGGAGAATTTCACGATAATACAAACTCGGTATTGACGTGATTGATTGATTCGTAACCTGAAACCGAACAAGGTTACAAGTCCACAGAGATAAGAAGAGTACTACTCGGCAAGACTCTCGCTCGATCGGTGACCGAAGGCACAGTCCCCAATCCGAGCGCGGACATGGGATTTTATAGAATGACGTGTTCATATAATATTCCCTGAAGATTCTAATCTTCTGAAATGAGTAACCCTATATATAACCACGGTCAACGAGCCAAAGACATGATAATTGCCTGCAGAGCCATTTTCCAGCCAGTATCACCTTCTGCAATTAACCAGGAGAAGCCACAAAGTCTTAACTCTGGTTGCATAGGCATGACTTGTCATGGTTCATAGCGTTCTAAAAAAATGCACGAAAAGAAAATCCCGTGGGGAAGAATGACATGACACGTGGCATAAACAAGACAGCGACACGTGTCCGATGCTGAAAGTCCATTCAGAAACCCTAGCCCTAATTCTCTCTCAGACGGCCCCGATCGTCCTCTCACTAGTGTTGCCGTCAGATTTTATCCCGTCAGTGGTGACGGTTAATGTGAGGGATGGGATCCCCATGTCATGGTGATGGAGGCCATCAGGGGACCGGTCCCTTTCTCTTAACCTCAATTGTGGATCACAGAAGCTCAGAAACTGGGCACCGGCTGCTCGGACCGGTAGGAAGAGCGCTGCTACCGGACGTTGGGGTGATGACCGGTCACCGCGATAGCTCGCGAGACAAAAGGAGGGTTTGTTTTCGTCCACGGCCGCCCCCTCCCCGTCCGTCGCTGTCTCTCTCCCGCAATGTGCAGTGTGTGAGCTTCCTTCACTCACCCCGCTCGCCCTGCGTTGGCTTTCTCTGCTCCGCTCCTCGGCCCTCCCCCTCCCCTCCCCTCCCCCCACCCTCTCTCTCTCTCTCTCTCTCTCTGCTACGCTCCCTGCCCTGCCTTCCCGTTCCTTCTCTTTCGCGTGAGCCCACAACATCGCCTTTACTACCCTCGCCTCCCTTCATGCTTCCTCCTGCTGCCTTCTTCCGCTTCTTCCTCTCTTCTTCGTCTGTCTATCTACTCGGCTGCTTGGGCTGGCTGGCTGGCTGTCTAATAGATTTCCATTCCTTACCTCTCCTCACCTTTTTTCTCCACCATTCACCTGCTGTCTCCTCTGTTCCACATCCCTTCTGCTGCACAGCCCAACTCCGTTTCTTCTTTGCCCTACTAGCACTGTTAGTTCAATCTGGGCGGGCTTTACAATTCCTCTCTCCCTCCTCCCAGTGTTTTGTTGTGAGGTCAGTGGGAAGGATTACGACTGTGTGTGTCGGTGGTGGGGAAGCACGGGAGAGAATTCTCAAGGGGTTTTGGTTGTAGTGGAGGTCAGCGTGCCGGAGATTTCCACTGTGGTTCATTGCTCCAGTGGGACAGAACGATATGTCGTGACTTACGGGGGGATTTTGGAAGAGGTGGAAGAGCGGGAAATTGTCGGGACCGGTCACGTCTTGTGGGAGGTGGAGGATTCGGTTTGTCTTCCTTTAATGTTGTCGCTGTAGGGGAAATTTGAAGGGTCGAGACCTTGGCGTCCTTCTGTGTCTGGCATACTTCTTCTGCCTCCCGGCGGTAGGGTTTCTGCGATTTTAGGGGTTGCTTTGGAAATCCTTTGGGTGTGAGTGACGCTTTTGGGGGTTTTTCGACCAAGTCAGCACTCGGCTCCACAGTTCGTTGCTCCGACCCTCATCTTCATCTTTGTGCGGAGTGGTCTGGGCTCTTTTCAGCACTCTTCTTCACTTCGGACTCATTGTTTTATGATTCATCCCTCTTGTGGAAGCGATTTTATCCCTTCTCTTCCATCTGAAGCGCGCGGCCGCGGTGATTAGAGAAGATACTCGCATGTCACCCAAGAGCATGGCCTGTGGATGCAGCTTGTTGGAACGTTTTGCCGGAATCATTGCCGTGGCACGCATTGGCGTAAGAGTATAGGTTATGAGCACAAGATTGCATAAGGACAGAGCAAAATGGTAGGTTGTTCTTTCAGGTCGAGAGAAGTAAGCTGCGTGATAGGGTTTGCTCACGTGCGGATTGGACACAGGGCACAGAGTCATGATGGAAAGGCACGCAAATACTTGTGTAGGGCAGATTAGGGGCTTCCTTGTGACAAATGTACTTTAGTGGTGGTAAAGCGACGGAATAATAGAACTCTCTTGCCTATCAAGTAGCGGCAACAGTCAAGACCTAGGGCCAAGGCGGGGCGTTTCATCGGCTCGGAGATCGTTGAATACGTCAACTGGAGATTACACTCACAGGTTGCGCGAGGACCGTGGTTTTATACGGAGGAGTTCGAAGGGTTCTAGGGCTTTATTACTTGTTCGACAGTGACACTTTACTTTAGAGTCGAAGCTCTGGTACGTGCAACTTACATTTGGCGATTTTGAGCGAGGCGGAGTTTACTGTTTACTCTAAACTTGTGGTTCCGTTCTCATTTGACCTAGTATCGGTATCGGTTGGGAGCCCTTTGGAGACCCTATTTGTTATTACGGGGAACAACGAGAGGACAACTACGAGCATTTCTGGGTCCAAGCGTTTTACAGTTAATTGGTAGATTGCCACGAAAGGAAGCCAAAACTGGCTAGCGATCTCATTGGAAGACCAGGCCTCTGAATTTTTGCTTGTCGAGTTGGCACTTCGTTGTTAGAGGGTTTGTATAGTGACGGAGAGTTGGACACCCCAAAAAACGCTTTTTGGAATCTTACAGTCGCTGCAGGGTATGTGAGCGAGAATTGGGAGCAGAGCTTTATTTCTTGTGGAGAAGCACATCTGGACCAGATTTTCTGCTCCTTACATGTTCGAGAATTTGCAACGGATGTGAATATACATTTACGGACTTGCAGTGGAACTACAAGATTACATGTGGAGGGAAGAAATTTTTAGATTCTGAAAATGGCTTCCTAATTCTTGATGTAGCACGCCTCCTTCTAATACGTCATCGGGAGAACATTGGAAAGACTATACCTGACTCATAGGAACTCGCTGCGTGACTATCAGCTGCACTGTGGCTAGTTATCTTAGTAAATGCTCTAGGTGGTTTACTGGGAGTGCTGAGGAAAAGATTTTTGGGCCTAAAGTTGCAAGAAGAGATTGGGCCCAAAGAGAAGGTTACTGTCGGTCTTCTGCCCACAGACCTATCATGGTCTGTGGCAGGGATGGAGAGAAGTGAGCCATCCTTGGTCCCGGAATGGCTTAAGGGGGCTGGTGGCGGTGGTGGGGCCACCCATCACTCTCAACCTCCAATCCACCAAGGTATCTTTCGTCTGTTATTGGTCACTCATCAAATTTTCTTTAAGTGGTTTTACCTGCAAATGGTGAAGCGTTTGGTCAGTCTAAAAAGTTGGTCAGTTGTAGCTAGTCTGGTGCCATTACAGCGTAATGTGGAACCAATAGACAAGGTATCAAAGTTTTTGTCATGTAAGCGTTGTCGCGAGGGAAGTGTGTGACGTAGTTATGGAATGGAAGTTCCATTTATTAAATGGGCTCCTGGCCATTGCATGATGAGGAGATGTACAAGAAGGCCACAAGTAGGAAGATACGTTGACTCATGCAGATAGTGGTTCGCAAACTTCACTTTATGTTTTAGCATCGAGTCAGTCTTCGTTATTGAATGTATGATTCTATTCAACATCTCATCTACAGACGAGTCTCTTCTCTACTTTGCGGTGTCATGCTTTCAATTGTTGCTCCGAAGAATTTGGTTGGAGTTTCCAGCTTTATCCACAGCACTAGACTCATCCAAAATAGATGTGGAAAGGATTCTTGGCGTCAGTTGAACCCCGCAAAGCAGCAACTAGTGATCTTTGGCAGAAGCCAACCGAGTTTGTTTGGGAATGTTCATCTTCACATACTCGAACTTCTATGGATAATACGGGTAATGTACCGATGTGAATGTCTGTATTGCGTGTTTGCCTCCTACATCATTTATCTTACTCCCCGCTTTTTCAGATGAAGGTGTTGGTTTATTCCCTTCGAGGCAGCGCTCTCAAGCACACGGAGCGACTGCTGGTGTAAATCACGGAGACTACGATTCCCCACGTTATTCAGCCGCATCAGACCGGACATATTATTCGAGTTCTCGGAGGGGAGGGAGCAACAGCACAGGTGCTAGTGAGCGACCATTATTCGACCGAGATCCTTACTCCCGCGCCTATTCCAGCTTTGGTCGCAGCTCTGGTTATCGGGGTGTCTATGATGGCCTAGACAGAGACAGGGACGGTTCCAGGGATCGTGAGCGTGACTGGGATTGGGAGCGTGAGAGGGATCGTGATTTTCGTGACAGAGAGAGGGATAGGGCATTGGGCTTTGGGGGTGGCGATGACAGGGATAGGGATCGCGATAGACCAGATGGTTCCAACTTTAGAAGAGCTACAGGCCCCTCTGGTAGATACGACCAAGACGTGCCACTGCGGCGAACACAATCTATGGGCTCCGGTAGGGCGTTGGAGAACGGAGAAAAAAAGGCTCCGGTCGACATTGGCACTCTTCCTACTGCTCCACCGACTAATAGTGGAACTCTTAATAGTAGCATGCAGAAGGCCGCTTTTGAACGGAACTTCCCTTCTCTCGGGGCACAGGAGAAACAAGGAGCTGTGCAATCTAGTCTTGGATATGTGTCTGTATTGAGTCCTCGACCCTCATGGCAGAGTTCATCTCCTAGGACGGAGAGACCTTCGTCATCTACCCCTGGACTGTCAACAGGTGTAGGAGGACCTGGAGCAGTTCCATCATCGGTTAATGTCAATGTAGGAGGTAGTGGCATTAGCGGAGAAGTTTGGAGCTCTGCCCTAGCTGAGGTTCCAGCTAGTCTAACTGCCTCTTCCACTATCAACGGAGTGGCAGCTGGAGGTGCGTCTGTACCCACGATGAGTGGTGTTGGATCGACCTTGACCACAGGTGGTGCCCCTGTTCTGATTGTCCCGAAGATGGCTGAAGCACTTTCACAAAATCCTCCCCGCGTACGCACCCCTCCGCAGGTCTGGATCTCATATACAGCTGATTTTGCCACTTGCACTCAATTATAAGTTTTCAGGGGTCATCTGCCTATTCTCGTTTGAACTATTGGCTGATTTGTTGTTTTGCCATGTTGATCAGTATTCAACGGAGTCACAAAGGCTGGAGGCTGACGTGAAGCAATCGAGACAACTGATACCAATGAAACCTTCTCTTCCCAAGAATATGGTATTGATTAGTTTTCTCCTGGAAACAAGCTAACTTACTAAGTTGAGCATGGCAATGTACGATGTCTTCGTTCTAGATAAAGATGTGTTGGTTTTCAAATGGGAATTTTGCTTAGTTCACTTCATTACTATTGTGTTCCTCATTTCTAGGAAATTATTGAAAATACAACTTAAACTCTACACTTAAAAGGTTTAATAGGAGGCTAGTATATTGTGTGCCTATTGGAAGTTCAAATGGTTGCTATCATTCCGTGTGTGACTGGGAATGTTACATCTGCCAGTTCTCTGCGGGACGAATCACTCAGAAAGATAGCATGAATCGCATCAAGAAATTCACACACGTGTAATTTTGTTGGAACGGGGGAGATAGTGAGTATACTGGCATTGACATCACACTGACATATCTAATCACATAGTTCCAGACTTTGTGTGTATTTTATGCGCTATTCTACATTATAGCTGTGTCAATCCGATTAATTTCTTCTAGCTGAGTCGAGACGGGTATTTCTTAGCGACTTTGTCCGAGCAAAATCTTTGAGGGATATGTTTCGTAACCACCCTAGGTGGCCAGTCCACACTTTTGAGGTAAGTTGTTTGCTTTAGAATATCTTTTAACATATTAGATTGACTTTGTGTTCATTTTGTAAAGTTAACATATATCTTAATGGGAGAGGTTTCTGTGGATTCAATCTTGCATACATGGTGATTTCTTGGCTCGAATTCAAGTTATGTGTCGTAGTATCTTTCTTTTCAAAATTTTAAACCTATACCGATAGCTAAATAAATAAATAAATATAGCCTTTGCACTTAGGAAAATCACCAAATCTATCTATGTTCACTCTCACTCTTCTCTGGTAATATCTCTTATGCTAATAATTGAGTTCGAATTTACGAGGAAAATCATCCGCGGTGTTTTCCACTGTGTGAGGATCAAAACTTGTCATTACATTCAAGAATCTGTATTATGATCCTTGAATAGTTTTGTCTTAAGGAAAGTGGGATCTTGAAGGTTGGTCACTACCTACGTATGATCCCTATCGATTGAAAGAGATGATCGTTATGTAGGACGTGGGGAGTTAGATTAACATCTTGGAGGTAGTGGGAGTATTTCATGCGCATTCATTCTATTTCGTTGAACACATTATTGAAAACTCCGCTTATCATCTACAGAATCGACCGTTGGACAAGTCTTCATGCTCCATTGGAACTAGTTAATAATCTCTCTTCGGCTTGATGATTCAGGGTTTGATATCTTGCAGGTTACTGATAGACTGCTCCACATTCCTTTTAACCAACAGATCAAGTTGTCTTCCATTGGCTTGCTTCCCTACCGCACTGTTTGAAGTAGATGTGAAGTTCAGCGATTGCTTTAGCCGAGTAATACCTGAAAACCACAAAATCCACCCATCCCGGATTTGGCTCTTCCAGGCGTTCACTTTTTTCTTATTTAGGATTTTAACTGTATTTATTTTCATAATGCTTATCTGCTTTCTCACGAAGGACCGTCTATCTTCAAAGTCAGCCCTTCAATACATGTTTATTATAGAATACTGGATGGAGTAGCTCCATTTTCTCAACAATAAAACCCTTCAGTTTGCTTATAGATTGGACGTGAGTACACAGAAACGATCTACACATCGCTTATGCTATCAACACCCGTCGTAATAAATAAAGTAGCCAGAAACATAATCTCCTCCCTGATGCATCTGACGAATGTTCCCTTATAACTTCAACTTCTACACATCATATTTGAAGTGGTATAAAGAGTTGATTTGACAAGTGCTTGGGTAATGTGCTAATCAAAGTCTATTCATCTAGGTTTCTACAGTAGGCCTTACAGAAAGCCTATTGCAGAAGCTTAAATGTCAATAGATTGAGAGGATGTGGAGCTGTATAGAGAGGATCCAAATTGGTATTCGGGAACTTGAACGGTTGTGGTCGTATCTTTGTCGTATCTTTCTTATTGTTTTTGTTCGTATTTTGGTCTTACAATCGTCATGTTTGGAGCTCCAACTTTGCATGTTTCGATACTAAATATGTCAAAATGATAAGGAACACCTAAAGGGGTCATTTATGATGTACTTTTATCAAAACATTGTCAAAACTTGTTTCCATTTGGATAGTGTGCTATTACCATTGCTCTCCAGGCAGGATTGAGACAGCATTGTAAATAGTCAGGAATATGCGTGAGAATCATACTTACGAACCTAGCTTCATTGAGAGTTTTCTGTCAGAGTCAAGGATCTTTGATGGTTGCAGTTGGGAAGAGCAATATTCTTCCTAACAGTGTACTTTTCATAGGAGACACTTGTAACACTGGAGTGCTATCATTATTAGTGACATTAGGACTCACGTTATCATGCTTTGTATCCTCAGGGACCACGAGAGAAGATCAAACCCAAGGTTGTACGCGCAGTAGATGTAATAGCACCTCAACCGATCAAGCTAAGTCAGCCACTTAGTACGTCCCAACTTGTAAGCTCTCCTTATCGACCCCCAGCACCTCCTCGGCCGGAGCCCTTAAAGGCTCCTCAAGGAAAACTGCTGGTTCGGAAGACCAGTAAAGAGGCAGTAGCTGCTGCTTTGCCACCAACCAGCTCCTTGAAGATAGAGTCACTTGTGACTTCTTCGTCTCTAGTTAGTCCTGTGAGTGGCTCAGTGGCCGGGATCAGTGGGGTGGCCACGGGCAGTAGTATTCCCGTAATCCTGGCTCCTGTTCCTGTTCGTAAGCAAAAGCAGCTACTGGATCGTCGAGCTGTCCCAATACCACCAATTTCTGTAACAGCTGGTTCTGATGGCGGATCTGGACCTCGATCCAAAGAAGGGGGCTCAGCATCCGAAGACAAGAGGCCAGCCATTCCTGCTCAAAATCGCAGTGATTTCTTTAACGCGTTGCGAAAGAAGGCTGCTGGTGTGGGTACCGTTGGAGGCATTGCGGAGAAAAATGAGACAGGATCACAGTTAAAGAATGAAGGTGTGAATGGCAAGGGAATTGAACTTGAAGATGAAGTGGGTCACTATTCAGGTGAAGGGATCGAGAATCCTGTATACAAGATGAAGGAGAATGGAATGGCAGTTAGTGCTACATCCAAGAGTACTAGTTCTGACCTTGATACGTATGGCCTTCCCGAAGAGAAGGAGCGAATCCCATCCAATGGAACTATCGGAGGAGGGATTGAAGGTAATTCTGAGCAGTCAACTGCTCCAAGTAGCCCAGTGGTTCCTGCAAAGCGTGCCACTGCTACCGAGGAGGAAGAGGCTGCATTTTTGCGATCCCTTGGTTGGGAAGAAAGTGCAGAGGAAAGCGGAGAGGGTTTGACGGAAGAGGAAATAAATTCTTTCTACCAGGAGGTATGGTTCGTGGCATGTCCTCTGTTTTATAAAATTTTCTAGCTTAACTCTGACAGGCTTGGAGTCGTATCTTCGTGAGTTTGGTACCTTATGTTTGGTTTTCGCAACTATTTAAACTGGGCTCGCTGTTTGTTATGATTCTTTTGCATTACTACATGAACTTATGGATACACATTCTTTTCGTTGCCGAGCCTTACCGTGATGCATCTTACTTTTTTTTTGCAGCGCCTCCGTTCCATGTCAATATCACCTTCTTTGCCTATGGCCCGTAATCACCGCCTTAGGGACTTCCAAGTCGAAATGCACGTGGGGAGTATTGGCAGTATCTCATCAGGCATCAGCACTTCCGACAGTGAATCAGATGATGACCTGCATGTTCGCCGTCGGTAATAGATCGCGATTCACGCATGACAAAGTGTAAATGGAGCTACTTCCAAGCTACAGCCGTGTCTGGCATGTTGCATCAGCGAAGAGAGTACTTTAGATAGATTGGGGACTTCAGGCTTCAATTTTAGGGTTGATTCAAAGACCGCCTGCTTTAGTCACTGCACTCGAAAAAGGTGGGTAGTCATGTCACAAATGTATGAAAGTCTCTGGTGAAAAGTAGTAGAAATGCACTCATGCATGCACCAGGTCTTCTGAATTTTATACCCTGGTCAGTTTCACACCAATTTACAGGTGTTGCTGTTGAGGGCATGACAGCAAAGCAACCACCAAGATTGTTTATTCCGTGGTCAAAATAGATGACCACTCCATGCTGTGTATTCTCAAAAGATTTCTGGCACAGAAGGCGAATTCTGGAAGAGGATCCAGTACCACCTTCTGTGTGCGGTGCTCTTGGTATGTGGGTAGCACTCAGTGCCCATTGAGCAGGCATATGTGAGTACCTGGGTTTTGGTAAAGAGAAAGCTTAATCAGATAATTCACCTTCATAACCGTGTTGTGGACTTCTCTTGTTGATGAGATTCATTGAGCAGATTGCCGTAGACCAATGATATAAGTGAAGGTAGATGGGGATACCTTATGCCAGTCGTTTCTTGATTTGTTTTGCAAGCGCCCAATATACTTCGAGACGTTCGACCAAATGACCTGAAAAAAAATTGGCCCAAACTTACGTGCAGTGTTGACATTCCTTTAACAAGCATGCACTTAATTTCCATTTACAACACGACCTGACCTCCTCTTTGTGAATGTGTACGTTTTTGGTGGAAGTACTTGGGAACTGCCGTGGATCATGGGAAACGTGTTCACCAAATGCGATTTCAGGTTACATTTGGAGTAGGCTTGTGCATGGAGTTAAGTCTTTATGTCGACACTCGCTCCTCGTTGTCTATCCATTGGAGATGGGGGAGCTTTGTAAAATGGTGAGGTAAAGTGCAGCAAAATGTAGGCTGTAATAGCAAATATGGATGTCATTCTTTTGCTCGGCTGGCATTTTCACCCGTGATCTTGGTTGAGTAGGAACTGCGTTGTCGATTGGCTGGAGGTATCTGCGAATGGTTTTATACTCATTCGCTGTCTAATTGGAAGGTGGGCTTTTCGTGCGAGAGTTCGTAGACAATATTTTAGTCGCATAACCTTGATGTTGGCTGTGGTAAGTGGGTTCGCGGGGTTGTTCCAGGAAACTGCTGAAGATATTGAATATCTTCCACTGTTTTTCTTTCAAATTTTGTGTTGAATCCACAGCTGTTGGTTATTGTCTTATAAAATAAATGGGAACAATATGTTAGATCAGGTAGTTTCTTAACTTTCGTGATAAAAGTTTCTCCGGTTGCTTGTGCAGTGTGTCGAGTCGTAGGCTCTGTAGAGCTGTACCTCGTGCATTGTAGTAATCGTACGCTTGGATGTACAGTTCAGAATCATCTTCTTACAAAGATTTCTTGTTTTGTTGCTCCTAGTGTTAGTTATCTTAGTGACAATCCAGGTTCCCGAAGTTCTAGTATGCCTTTAGTTTGATCTTGAAGTACGTTACGCTTTGACTCTCCTGACCTTCGCCCTTCGACATGAAGTCTAGCTAAAGGTCTGAGGTATTTGTCATCTGCCGGAAACCTTCTTTCTTTGTATTTTGGTTTCCTGTTGGTTCTTATCTGGGTTCTTACTGTTCAAATTATTTCTGAAGTTCTAGCTTTGACAGCCCGATTGGTACTTTACAACTAAGCGAATTTGGTGATTCGCAAGTGCTATCAAGAGAGAGTAAGTTCCGACATTCACCAATACTGTGCTCAAATTTCGGTTTTTTTGGGTCTCGAAGATAATCTTTGGTGTGACAAGCATTCTTTTCGTGACGGTTTATGTGAAGCGACGGTGACCTTAGCAAACAGGTGAATTATTTACCTTTCTCGTTTTTTAATAGTGTAGTAACATAGCCGCCGGGGATGAAGATCGTTTTCTCCGTGGAAGTGAGTGTATACTTGCTTTCTACATGAGTCTTGGAATCCCCACCCTAGAATTCCAGGGATAAGCTGAAGAAAGCACAAGTAACCGCAAGGCTAGATGGGATTTAGCCACAACAGTGTGCAAAATATGTGGTGATTCTTTCTGAAGACGTTTCCTTTTAGTGGACTTGTCCTTTTCCGTTTATCAGTGTGCAGTCCATCCTCATTCAACCGCGTGCAGTACATGGAGATCGTGACGTGGGAATTCAAGATACCTTCTAAGGTGTCCATTTAGGATGACTGACCCGATCGCAGATTCATCATCTTGAAGTTGTATCTACTATTCCTTCCATATCATCCATATGGTCAGTTTGACGTGGATATTGTTTATGCGTTACACCTTCTGAACTATTATACACAGATGTGATTCAACCATTAGGTTTCAGCTTTCTTGGGTAGTCATGTTGACTATGGAGTGAGTCAAATAAGGGAGTCTAAGTTTTTGTCTTTCCGAATTTGGAGTAAGTTGACGTTTCTACCTGTTATTCGCTTACCTGTTATCGTTCGTTGTCAAGGCTTTTGGCAGGTTGTACAGGCCCCAAGCGAAGCGTAGTTGTATAATCAAATGTTTACTTTGACTCTAGTGACGACACGTTTTCCATGCATCCTGGCGGCCAATTGTAGTTGCTTATAGCAAGCGTCTTCGTTGTCGAAAGGGTCTTTCGACTTGAAACCGAGGGCTTCAAATTACTGTTGCATGAGGAGTATGTCAAATATGTACTCAGTTTTGTTCTTTAGTATGCATGTTCAATTGTAACTCAAAACGTGTATGCCTGCGTGTATTATACAATGTATGCCTAATCAAGCTTGCCGTAACAAATTTATGGTATGGTTAGTTATGGGTGAACTGTCCTTGCGTCGTGGTGAACTGGAATATTAAACGCAGAAGTGAATTGAGTTCTTCTGACTCCGAAATGTACTACCTACTACTTGTATTCAAAGCATTTACGCCCAAATATCTCTCTGAACGAAACGGTGAAGTTTTAGTACTATGAAGAGTAATAATAGCGTTATATAACGGCCTACCCCTACTCAGTCTAATGTTACTGCATTTCATCTCTTACGCTTACATCTATCATAACAACTCTTTGAAACAGGAAACTCCCGATCATGGTATATAGCCCGTGTGTTTGTACATATTCAGTTGGCTCAAACCTGTAACCTGTATCAGTCTTACACGTGCTCTCGAAGATATGGTTACCGGGGTCGATCACGTCCGTCACAGGAGAGCATTTACCAGTGTTGCCCCTAGTATCCGGCACATCACTATTTCTTCTAGGTTGAGTTGTCGACGGCCATCGCTGATAGTGTACAAATGGTAACAACAGCTGTACCTGGTAATATGAAGTTGTTACGATGGATTTACGCAATTGACCGGAATGCTTGGAACAGGGTCCGCAGTCATTTGCTCCTGACAATGTGATATGCACAGTTTCGTGTTTGGTTCTTCTCGACATGAAGTGTACACCGCATGGAGGGTATTTTGACCATTGTTTTGACTATCACGGCAAAACTCAAGATTCTGCTCATCGATGGCTCCTATCCAACGTGTGTTGAAGTTGCTGTTAAAGACTTACGTTATACTCTTTCATTGAGCATGTGCTTCTTATGTCCTTATGTAGCAATTATGTCCCCATGAACAGCTGAAATTTCACTAACAGCACTTATCTATGTTGCCACTCGTGTTCTTTATATCTGAGCTACTTATAAACCTAATATATGTCGTTGAACTTCATGGTATCATTGTTCAGTGTATACCTTCATATGTTATTCAAGAGATGTAGTTGCATGTAGAGTATGTGGAAGAAAAAGACGTGTTACAAATAATCCAAGATACCTAAGTTTGACAAAAGATGTTGTCCATTCTCCCACAGGAGACCATTGAGCTAGGCATGTGTTAACAATGCATAGATAATGATAGTATTTCAATCTACATTCGTTGAAGATTGCTTACTGCTCAATAAAGCCTTCCATGCTAGTATTCACTTAACAACATTCGATACTACACTTTTCAAAGTGAATGTGAGCGAGATGTCTCAACCTGCAAGTTAAGAATTGTATGGTGTGACTTTCTCTTAGGAAGAGTTGACACAAAAGTCCTTAAGTTTTCGAAATCGAATCTGAAAGATTTGATAATAAACTTTGATAACATTTGAAATCCTCATATAAGAAGCAAATTTTATGAAAATTATTGAACCAATTTTTTGCATAAGATATAAATTCTTATGTAACGGAAGTAACTTATTGGAAACTTTTAAATGTTCTAAAGCATCAAGACAAAATGTTGAATTAAGTTTTTCTAAAACATCATCCTTGATTCTCATGTTGTACTACTAATAATTACATGAAAATGTTTATGATTTGTTTTTTTACTTCTTGGGATATGGTTCAAGTTTTGATTTAACTTAGATATGTTAAAGCATAATAAGTCAAGCTAGTTAGAATTCTATTGTATGAAAGATTTTATCAAAGTTTCAATAGAAATTTTTTGAACTTTTTTAATAAAATTTCACCTGTTTTCATTTGAATGTAATAAGTAACTAGCTGTAATGAGTAACAATGTTGGTTGTGTGTGAGTTTGATTCTTGTTGAAGTATCATGTATATACAATATTGGTTGCATGTGTGAGTTTGATTCTCGTGTTGACTTTTTGGATTGTGCATTTGACTTTTAGCTTGACAATTAGAATGAAAGATTAGATGATGATATGAAATTGCAAATGTGTGTTGTCATTTGAATTGTGAAGAATTATTAATTTGTCTTATATCTTTGATATTCAAGTAGATTGTAACCTTGTACCTTTTGAACGCATTTCAATTGTTGTTCAGTGAGATTTTGTTAAAGATTGTGTATTGTTTGTATGAAAAATTTGAGAGCTCTTATGAAAAGTTTTTTGTTGAATATTTTTCAAAAAAAATGCAATTAGGATAAAGGAGTAGATGCGAGATTGCATTTGGCAACTTCTTTACATCTTAGCAATGTTCTAAAGAAAAAAATAATTTATTAAGAACATTGTTATGGATTGATGTTAGATGAATGAGCTCAACAAGATAAATTTAAAGTACAATTATAAAAGCTTTGGCTTAATGAGATCAATAGTGAAGTAGACGTGATTGACTCCAAATATCTAAATATCTTTGAAAAGCTATTATACCATAAAATGAATTGACGGTGAAGGGAAAAACAACTTGATGCGAACTCAATTAAGTGATTTTGTCTTGAAATATTTAATTAATTTTTAAAAACTATTTTATCATAAAATGAATGGACATAAGGAGTAAAACAACTTGATGCGGACTCCCATTGCTTCCAATTAAGTGATTTTGTCTTGGACTATCTAATTAATTTCAGAACTATTTTACCATAAAATGAATGAAAGTGTAGAGTACAAAAACTTGAGTGTACTTACTTTGCTTTTAAGAAAGTAATTTTGTCATCTTGTCTATAAGCAAAATCATGAAATGTAACACTTTCACATACACTTTCTCATAACTTTTTCACATCAATGAGAAGCCACCAATGAGCATGCTCTTAATTTGAAAATCCAATAGAGTACAAAAAACATCATTGTGATAAAATGAAGACTTTTGTAACTTTAAATGAAACAGATGTGAGATAGATAGATGACATTGCAGCAACGTAGAGAGCATGTGAATCAAAAACATTCCAAACCATAATTAT